GTGCTGGGGGATGGAATGGACGGCCCCAACTCCGGACGTCCGCGGGTAGCCAGCAGGGTATCCAGACGGATCGACATGTCCACCAACTAATCGAAGCTTAGGTTGGTGTCCCTGCAGGCCAACTCTCGGCGAACGTCCTCTCGTAGGCTGCACCGATAGTGGTCGATGAGGGCCCTCTCATTCCACCCTGCATTGGCCGCCAGAGTCCGGCAAACCAGGGCGAACTCTTGCGCGCTCCTCTTCCCCTGTCGGAGGTGGAACAGACACTCCCCCACCGCTTTCCCCTCTGGGGGATGATCGAAAACCGCCCTGAAGCGGCGGGAGAACTCTGCATAGCTGATGGTGGCGGCGTCTATTCCCCTCCATTCGGCATTGGCCCACTCCAATGCCTTGCCGGATAGACAGGAGATGAGGGTGGAAATGCTCTCGTATCCCGAGGGCGCCGGGTGAATGGTTGCCAGGTAGAGTTCTACTTGAAGTAGGAAACCCTGACACCCGACTGCGGTGCCATCATATGCCCTCGGGAGCGAGAGCCGAATCCCACTGGACTCCGGAGATGGAACGATGGGTCTGGCCGATGGTGGTGGTATTGTAGGAGGAGGTGTGGGCAAGCCTCCTCTTTCCCATCGGCTCAGCGTGTCCATCACATCCTGCATGGCGGTGCCGAGTCTACGGATCATGGCGTCCTGGCTGCTGACACGATCCTCCAGAGACTCCGTTACCACCGCTGGTCCTGCTGACTCCATGGTGGTGTGTTATTCTGTCAAAAGGGGTGATGTGTATGCGGCAGTGAAGTCAGGCACAGGACACAGAGAATCAGGATGACTACTTTACTTAATGCAAAACGCACAAACAAAAGTCTCCACAACACTGGAGGAGAAAAACACTCTGTGCGTAAAAAGGTGAAATAGATATGCCGAACATCAACGAGACAAAATGACAATAACACACAAAGGCCAAACGTAAAACAAGGAACTTATATGTTACACAATCAACAGGTGTATAAACTAGACAACACAAGACAAACACCGAAAACATCGATCGGCAGTAGCTAGTACTCCGGGGACGACGAACGCCGAAGCCTGCCCGAGCAAGGAGGAGGAGCAGCCTCGGCAGAATCCGTGACACTGAGTTACAGTTCATATAAGGAAATCAGTCAATTGAAATAAATGCATTAGGCCCTAATCTATGGATTTCACATGACTGGGAACACAGATATGCATCTGTTGGTCACAGATACCTTAAAGAATAGTAGAGGCCCGCAATACATCACATAGTTGATCAGGCTGTTGATTGTGGCCTGTGGAATGTTGTCCCACTCCTCTTCAATGGCTGTGTGAAAGTTGATGGATATTGGCGGGTACTGGAACACACTGTCGTACACGTCGATCCAGAGCATCCCAAACACGCTCAATGGGTGACATGTCTGGTGAGTATGCAGGCCATGGAAGGACTGGGACATTTTCAGCTTCCAGGAATTGTGTACAGATCCTTGCGACATGGGGCCTTGCGTTATCATGCTGAAACATGAGGTGATGGCAGCGGATGAATGGCACGACAATGGGGCCTCAGGATCTCGTCACGGTATCTCTGTGCATTCAAATTGCCATTGATAAAATGCAATTGTGTTCCTTGTCTGTGGCTTATGCCTGCCCATACCATAACCCTACCACCACCATGTCACAACATTGACATCAGCGAACCGCTCGCCCACACAACGCCATACACGTACTGCCAAATCTTTCTAAAACGACATTGACCTCCAATGGTAGAGAAATTAACATTCAATTCTCTGGCAACAGCTCTGGTGGACATTCCTGCAGTCAGCATGCCAAATGCACACTCCCTCAAAACTTGAGACATCTGTGGCATTGTGTTGTGTAACAAAACTGCACATTTTAGAGTGTCATTCTATTGTCCCCAGCACAAGGTGCACCTGTGTAATGATCATGCTGTTTAATCAGCTTCTTGATATGCCACACCTGTCAGGTGGATGGATTATCTTGGCAAAGGAGAAATGCTCACTAACAGGGATGTAAACAAATTTGTACACAACATTTTAGAGAAATCATATTTTTTGTGCGTATGGAACATTTCGGGGATATTTTATTTCAGTTCATGAAACATGGGATCAACACTTCACGTGTTGCGTTTATATTTTTATTCAGTGTATATTGCCACACCGGAAGAAGTTGTAATCAGCCATTTTAATGTCCTTATCCATGATCGAACCATAAAGCCACGTCTCTGTAAGAACCAGATATCAAGAAGGTCCATCTTTGACATAAAACTTTGCATGGTTATATGGCGGCAGGTAGCTTAGTGGTTAAGAGCGTTGTGCCAGTAACCGAAAGGTCGCTGGTTCTAATCCCCAAGCCAACTAGGTGAAAATCTGTCGTGTGCCCTTGAGCAAGGCACTTAACCCTAATTGCTCCTGTAAGTTGCTCTGGATAAGAGCGTCTGCTAAATGTTTAATGTAAATGTTATATGTAGCAGCCCAAACCCTATGTGCAATTTGAAAACAGTCCATATTTATGGAACTCCCATTTAAAATTAGTAGTAGTTGACGACCTGTCCACAGTGGGCCTCCTACGAGAGTAAAGAGGATTCCTCCATTTCTTTGAGTCCCTCTTCAATGCCTGAGAGGATTAGGCTATGACCAGCCTTGACTCACAAACTGTTCCAACATACAACAGATTGATCACACATCTAATTTGGTGTGATGATAGGCATCAACCCACTCATGCAAAAAAAAAAAAAAAAAAAAAGATAAGGCTGATCGCTTACCTTTCCTCTCATTTTGAAATGGCTGACAGAGAAGGTTTACAGATGTATTTCATATGTTACCCACATTTACATTTTAGCAGACACTCTTATCCAGAGCGACTTACAGGAGTAATTAGGGTTAAGTGCCTTGCTCAAGGGCGCATCGACAGATTTTTCACCTAGTCGGCTCAGGGATTAGATCCAGCAACCTTTCAGTTACTGGCACAACGCTCTTAACCACTAAGCTACCTGCCGCCCCTGCTATTGTCCTGATTCTAGAGCATGATTATGATCTGATGTCCCTTTTTGTCTGAAACGTTCTAGAGAACACAGAAAGTACTCGCCCTCTGTTTCATGGCTCAAACTTTAATTATGTAGGCTACAGGGTGGGCCATTTCAATTACAGGACCAGCTTTTCCTGTGTTATTCTAAATGTTAAGGAGGAGGATCCCTCATTTGCACAGCTGGAACATCTGAGTTGTAGCTTATGCGGACTGGACAGACAGCTGAATAAGCCAAGGTCACCTTCATAATTCTGTAGCAGTCAGCTTCTGGAGAGCAACAAAATGCCGTCTGGTCTGGTCTGCCGTCTGGTCTGGTCTGCCACCTGGTCTGGTCTAGTCTGCCACCTGGTCTGGTCTGCCGTCTGGTCTGGTCTGCCACCTGGTCTGGTCTAGTCTGCCACCTGGTCTGGTCTGCCACTTGGTCTGGTCTAGTCTGCCACCTGGTCTGGTCTGCCACCTGGTCAGGTCTAGTCTGCAACCTGGTCTGGTCTGCCGTCTGGTCTGGTCTAGTCTGCCACCTGGTCTGGTCTAGTCTGCCACCTGTTCTGGTCTGCCACCTGGTCTGGTCTAGTCTGCCACCTGGTCTGGTCTGCCACCTGGTCTGGTCTAGTCTGCCATCTGGTCTGGTCTGCCACCTGGTCTGGTCTAGTCTGCCACCTGGTCTGGTCTGCCGTCTGGTCTGGTCTAGTCTGACACTTGGTCTGGTCTGCCACCTGGTCTGATCTGCCACCTGGTCTGGTCTGGTCTGCCACCTGGTCTGGTCTGGTCTGCCACCTGGTCTGGTCTAGTCTGCCACCTGGTCTGGTCTGCCACTTGGTCTGGTCTAGTCTGCCACTTGGTCTGGTCTGCCACCTGGTCTGGTCTGCCACCTGGTCTGGTCTAGTCTGCCACCTGGTCTGGTCTGCCACCTGGTCTGGTCTAGTCTGCCACCTGGTCTGGTCTGCCGTCTGGTCTGGTCTAGTCTGCCACCTGGTCTGGTCTGCCACCTGGTCTGGTCTAGTCTGCCACCTGGTCTGGTCTGCCACCTGGTCTGGTCTGGTCTGCCGCCTGGTCTGGTCTGGTCTGCCACCTGGTCTGGTCTGGTCTGGTCTGCCGCCTGGTCTGCCATCTGTAACACGAGCACATTGCCTCTCCAAAGTATTTTCCATGAAGTGTGCAGAATAAAACAGCAAAATAGTTTCACTGACTTGTGGAATCCCCGGGCGTCTTGTGTCCTCTGTGGTGTGATGTTGTTAGGCCTGCGTCCCAAACGGCACTCTATTCCCTACATAGTGCACTACTTTTGATCAGGGCCCATAGGGCTCTGGTCTAAAGTAGTGCACTATGTAGAGAATAGGGTGTTATTTGGGACGCAGGCTGGGTTTGTCCTGGGAATGATCCAGCAGCACTGTGGACTGTGGAGTCAACGCCTGACTTCACCTGATCACTCATTAACCCTGTGTGTTTACGGAACCCTTACAGGAGGGAGGCAGCAGACTTTTACACAGAACATCAGACAAAGTCTTTCTTCAGGTGAGTCCTTACCTGTGTAAATGATTAGCCTGTGTCTTTGTGTGAGCAGAGCGGCCAGGGGCAGGTTTCAAGGAGGCTCCAAGGGCCAGTGACCACCATCAGTAGCATTCTCTGTGACATTGATTGCACTGACATTGTGGTGACATTTGAACAGTCCTGACAGGGGACCTCTTAAATCAAGAGAATTAGAAGTAGTTTCAGTTAATCCACACATTATCTCTGAATGTGGTCGTCCAAATCTCTGTGGGATATTCTTACCCTTTAAAAATGTGACCTTCATATTCCTCACCATCTGAGCAGTTCATAAGTAGTTTATTTGCACTACAGTGGAGATTCCGGTAAAGGTTATGTTGCTAAAAGTGTTATTCGCTCACATCGAGAGCTGACAGTTTATTGGAGGTTTTTCATGCTGTGTTTTTCAGCAACCTGGTGCAGTTTATGACCTCTGGGCCTGGGGTTGCCATGGAGCTGATGGGCGACGAGGCGGTGTCGGTGTGGAGAAGGCTTCTAGGCCCCACTGACTCGGGCGTGGCACGGAAAGAGGCCCCGCCAAGCCTCCGAGCCGAGTTCGGCACAGATGGCACCAGAAACGCGGGACATGGGTCTGACTCACTGGCCTCAGCAGCAAGAGTAATTCATTCTAGTAGAGAGACCAGGAGAGGACCTAGTACAGAGCCCTGGGGGACACCAGTAGTGAGACATTAAAGAGGACCTAGTACAGAGCCTTGGGGGACACCAGTAGTGAGACATTAAAGAGGACCTAGTACAGAGTCCTGGGGGACACCAGTAGTGAGACATTAAAGAGGACCTAGTACAGAGTCCTGGGGGACACCAGTAGTGAGACATTAAAGAGGACCTAGTACTGAGCCCTGGGGGACACCAGTGGTGAGACATTAAAGAGGACCTAGTACCGATCCCTGGGGGACACCAGTAGTGAGACATTAAAGAGGACCTAGTACCGATCCCTGGGGGACACCAGTAGTGAGACATTAAAGAGGACCTAGTACAGAGCCTTGGGGGACACCAGTAGTGAGACATTAAAGAGGACCTAGTACAGAGCCTTGGGGGACACCAGTAGTGAGACATTAAAGAGGACCTAGTACAGAGCCTTGGGGGACACCAGTAGTGAGACATTAAAGAGGACCTAGTACAGAGTCCTGGAGGACACCAGTAGTGAGACATTAAAGAGGACCTAGTACCGATCCCTGGGGGACACCAGTAGTGAGACATTAAAGAGGACCTAGTACCGATCCCTGGGGGACACCAGTAGTGAGACATTAAAGAGGACCTAGTACAGAGCCTTGGGGGACACCAGTAGTGAGTAATGCTTTGTTCTTCTGTTCAGGAACTGGAGTTTTTCTTCCCATCCACTGCGGGCCATGGTCCCGCTAACACGGCCAATTACACAGACTGCGCCTGTTGCGTCATCAAACCTCACGTTGTGTCAGAAGGTAAGGAAGACTGCTTTCTTTCACATGGAACATAGCCTTGCTCTCCACACATACAGTACCTGTTATGCTTTTCTCAACTCTATGAGAAGTTCTCTTGTATACCATACCCCTTACATTATGGCTATTTTCTGTAGGACTTTCGAGTTCCTAAGATATAAAAGCCTCACTTTCAATACCCGTTAAGATAAAGTCCTATAAGTATGTACCTTGCAGTAACTGTATTTAACTGCCTGTTATCCAGAGAAGCCACTTGGTTTTCGCTTTTAAACCCTTTCCTGCCACTAAACTCTTCTTCTTTTACACGGAGTGTACAAAACATTAGGAACACCTGCTCTTTCCGTGACATAGACTGACCAGGTGAATCCAGGTGAAAGGAAATGATTCTTTTGGAGTTGACCTCTCCACCACTACGTCACTGTCGTTAACAGTCGGACAAATGGCAGAGAAAAGAGTCCTGTAGGGAGGGCAATACTTTGAGAAGTTAAATGAGAAGGTGGTGAAAGAGAGAGGAGAGGGGAGAGAGCCGCAATATAGAAGTAATGTGTGCTCAGTCAACTTACCTGGTAAAATAAGAGTTAAATAAATAAAACAAGTAATTAAGCAGCATCAAAGATTATCTGTTATATTGACAAGATGGTCGAGTGATCGCTCTAACAATGGAAATGCATGTCCTCAGAGATGGCAGGCAGGTGAGATCAAGTGGGACCATTCTAGTCAATGAGATGGCAGATACATGTGTAAACAACCAGCACAACTCCGATAAATGTCTTCTTCTTTTTTTTTTTTTTGCCACGTGCATCCACTTATGTCAGTATATTTGTAACAACCTAACCATTACGAAACTTTTATTAGATCAAATAAGCCTCACGTAGCAAATTAGCAATTCAATTTTTGGTTGACCAAATTCAACACTCTCTCATCGACCTCCATACTTATTTTCGTAGAAAGATTTTGGTGGCGTAAACCCTCTGGCTTCGCCTCTTCCGCTCTGGCAGCATCCATCCCAGCAATGCTGAGGGTTAGTCATGTGATCAGAGTTCATTAGCATAAACACGTTTAGCATCTCCAGGCCTCCAGGTCCCTTTGGAACATCTATATTTTTAAAAGTATAATTAATCAATTTAATATACACCATTACAATAAATCCATTATTTATTTTAGGCAGGTCTAAAGAAACATTATGATATGTGACTCATTTCAGGAAACTAGGCATATGTCGCGCGTCACTGCTTCACAGGAGATGCATTTGAATTTAAAACTTTTTTTTTTGCACAATGTGTTTTTGGGCAGAAAGGCCTTCTGGAACATGTGAACTTTCATATGCCTTAATAACAAAGTTGTATGCCATCTGTAAATACGAATACAATTGTGAAATTACAAGCCTAGTTGGTTTAGCCACGGAAAAAGACAGGAACCTTCCCTCTAGCCATGATTGGCTGAGATAATGGATGGGCTGGACATGCCGAGAGAAGAGTTTGGATTGGTCTGCCATGTAACACGCTTCTGGAAGCAGAGTATGATAGATAAGCAGATGGAGAAAATTCAGCCGTTGGATTGCAAATATGCAGAGGGAGTCGAAAAGAGAACACAGAAGGCTGTTGTATAAAACATCTGTCTCCGGATTACATCTTCAAACAAAGGGCAACTGTGACAGAGGGATAAACGTTCATCCATGTATACGGGTAAGAGAGTCTAGCTAGCTACATTTTCAGATATTATAAGTTTCTAATTTTGTCAGAAAGTTGTTTTCATTGCAAGTTAAAGCTGACTGTTAGCTAACTAGCTAACGTTGGCTGGCTGGCTCGCTAGCTAACGTTACGTGTATGATCTGTGTAGTAATAATATTTGTTTCTCAGAGCCATTTGCATTGCTAGTTATAGCCTAATGTTAGCTAGCTAGCTAGCTAACATCGAACCTAGCTAGTTGGATAGCTTTAGCTACCTGTAGATTCATGCAAGGGTAGTAACGTTATAAGTTGGTATTATGGTTCATTGTTTAGCTAGCTAGCAACATGCACCATTTACACCTTCTGTATCTTGTGCATGTGACAAATAAACGTTGATTTTATTTGATAGTGTATGTTTACCAGAGACGGTAATTAGGATATAACGTTAGGCCAACAAGACAGTGTCCAAGTTCTAGAATTCTCCGGTAGAATGCCCTGCTTTTATTTCATCATACTCACAGCCGTAAGCTATTTTCTGTAATTAGCTCGCCATTAACATGTAAATAATGACCTTGTTGTGAGTTTATTATCCTCTAATAATGAATTCAAATTTGTTAAAGTTAAGACGTTGTCAGCTATGTGATATGGTCATTATTTGAACTGGCTAGCCAGCTAACTTAACGCTAGCTAGCTAACAAGCTAGAAACGAACCAAGACTTTGTTTAGAAAGTTGCTTTTAGTTGCCTGGTTTGCTAGATTTACATATACTAAATTCATTTTTAAACTGATGGGTTTATTAGTGTTAAAAAACACCAGTTATGCTATTTTGGACCACCTGTCGTTTTTGTGTTTATACTTTTTCATAACGACAACGACAAGTTTGATGTAGGACGACAATAGAATGTTCATGATGTCACTGCAACAACTAGACGTATAAACCAGCCTTTAGTGTTGAAATCTTTGGTTGTACACTACCGTACTCTCTGTTTAGCACACGGCCTCACATGAATCCTTTAAGAGATGGGTAGGGCTTAAGAGGGTGAGAACGATGCTGAAGGGGTGTAGACAAAGAAGAGCTCTCCAGTAGGTGTACCAAAACATTCAAGGCCATTTTTTCAAAAGTGGGGTTACAAGTTTATAAACTTTCAAAGCAGAATTACTTTCCTCAACTGTAGTGTATGATATACCATTTTCTAGCTCTGAGTCTCTACTTTTATCCAATGTAAAAAAACACCATTTAAAATGTTACATTTTACATGGTTACAATGTTACATAAAAAGGCTACATAAGACCGAATCGAGCCGGTCGGTCACATATGAAGAAATTGTTTTCAGAAGCATGCAGCATGCAGCCTCTCGCTGCGTGACAGGTGATATTCCGCCCAAACTCTGTATGCCATGGGCTCTCCAACTCCGTTCCTGCAGCTACCCAGTGCTTAATTTCGGGAAACCAAGTGAAATGTGTTCGGGAAAATCGATAGTAACATGTTTTCACAACAAAACATATTTCATTTAAAACTTTTGACAGCCCCTCTCTCTGCACACTCGAGAAAGGAATGAAGGGGGGGGGGGGGGGGGGGAGATGGAAACGCATGGTGGTGAGATATTCTGTAGCTAAAGGTGTGTCAGGCTGTTAATTATAAAAAAAAAAAAAAAAAAAAACTATTACTAGGCTATTCAAAATCAGTGCATCTCAGTGCTTGAGGCGTTACTACAGACCCCCCTGGTTCGATTCCAGGCTGTATCACAACCGGCCGTGATTGGGAGTCCCGTAGGGCGGCGCACAATTGGCCCAGCGTCGTCCGGGTTTGGCCGGTGTAGGCCGTCATTGTAAATAAGAATTTGTTCTTAACTGACTTGCCTGGTTAAATAAAGGTAAAATAAAAGGCCTATACGTTCTCTCCCAGACTCATGGATAGAAAGTTTGGAGCGTAGCATAAGGTAACCAGTCCATCCTGTATTACATTTTAGTCATTTAGCGACTTACAGTTAGTGAGTTAGCGCCATGCTCTACCAACTGAGCTACAGTGTGTATAATAATACAGTCACTCAAAGGCCAGGTACAGGCTAGACCAATTATGTACAGGCTAGACCAATTATGTACAGGCTAGACCAATTATGTACCAAAGACATTTTAAAATCAGTTTTTTAAAATGTTTTTCTGCCATGTGTAATAAGCGGTAAGCTATGTATTGTATAACGGAACAATCATTATTTTAATTCAAGTTAATTTTTTTCGGGCTTGGGCTCATAAATAGGCCTATGCATAAGTTCTAATATGCATATTGATGTTTTTAATTAATCATCACCTTTAGAAAGCGCTGTCCATTTCATTGTTAGGCTTTGAAACAACATCCACCACGTCCATGTTTCCCACTCAGTTTCAACCCTGCTGTTGAACTTCTTTCTTCTAATTGATCAATCACAGTGAGGTGAGTTTTTTAAAGTTGAAACTGAGTGGAAACATGGTCGTTGACTACATGGAACTCTATTCCACATCAGGTAACTGATGCAAGCAGTAGAATCAGAATTTTAAAAACAGATAAAACAAATACACCTTATGGAACAGCGGGGACTGTGAAGCAACACAAATACAGGCACAGACACATGCATACACACACACGATAACATATGCACTATACACACACGTACACATGGATTTTGTGTTGTAGATATGTGGTAGTGGAGTAGGGGTCTGAGGGCACACGCTTAGTGTGTTGTGAAATCTGTTATGAACGTATTGTAATGTTGCCTTGGCAGCAGCTAATGGGGATCCAAAATCAATACAAATGTCAGAGTGGTTAGAGGGACTCTAGAGCCCTGAGTACCAGGCCATTAGGACCTGATGGTTAGAGGGACTCTAGAGCCCTGAGTACCAGGCCATTACATTAGGACCTGATGGTGTAGAGGGACTCTAGAGCCCTGAGTACCAGGCCATTAGGACCTGATGGTTAGAGGGACTCTAGAGCCCTGAGTACCAGGCCATTAGGACCTGATGGTTAGAGGGACTCTAGAGCCCTGAGTACCAGGCCATTAGGACCTGATGGTTAGAGGGACTCTAGAGCCCTGAGTACCAGGCCATTAGGACCTGATGGTTAGAGGGACTCTAGAGCCCTGAGTACCAGGCCATAGGACCTGATGGTTAGAGGGACTCTAGAGCCCTGAGTACCAGGCCATTAGGACCTGATGGTTAGAGGGACTCTAGAGCCCTGAGCAACCAGGCCATTAGGGACCTGATGGTTAGAGGGACTCTAGAGCCCTGAGTACCAGGCCATT